ATACAGTTTACATCTCCAGGATGATGCCAAACACTTTCCTGCCTCAGCACCTTTGCAGTATAGGTTTCCCTCTCCTCCCCTCCCCTCCCCTCCCCTCCCCTCTCCTTTCCCTTCCTTGTCTTTCTTTTCAAGTTGGTTTACTTCTTCCAGGGGAGAAAGACGGAGACAGACACAGCCTGCAGGTCCTCCCACCGCAGCCCGCCCCCCCAGCCTGGGGCCAGCACTCACTCCTGATCCGTGCACGGCCCAGGGCTGTCCCATGCAGGTCCGCCTCCACCGTGCTGCGTTGCCATCCGGCCCAGCCCCAGGTTCCCCACAGTGCCCTCGTGTCTCCGTGCTCAGCCGTGTGGCGCTCCGTCCCACGTCACCGTGCTCAGCCGTGCGGCTCTCCGTCCCGCGTCACCGTGCTCAGCCGTGCGGCTCTCCATCCTGGCTCTCCCTCTCGGGGTTGGCTCTTGGTGGCAGCCAGGGAAGCGGGGTACCCTCTGACTGAGAGGGCTCTGTAGCCCACTCCCGTGCAGCGAGGACTTCGGTCCGTGTGTCAGGTGGACGGTGACAGTGTCAGCTAGGAAGCCGCCCATGAAGACCACGGCTGAGGGACGATGGAAGCTCTGGAGAAGTATCTGGCAGGTGGCGGACGACCGGCCCCGAGTGCTGGGTTCGGCCTTCTCGGCACGTGGTAGGGGTGGGCGCGCAGAGTCGGTCACCTGCCCCTGAGGAAGGCAGGCCTGGGAACTGGAGCCTGGCGGGCCCCACGTCAGGGACTCACAGGGGGACAGCACGGGCTGGGACCAGGAGGGCGCCTCCGGAAGGTGGTCCCTGCCCCTGGAGCCCTCCTGGGAGCGGGAGCGGGAGCCAGCGGGCTAGATGCTGGTACGGACCTGCCTGTGCCGTGCGCCACGCCCAGGTGAGGCCCGCTGCGGGTCGGCGCCTCTCCGTGGGCAGCTGTTGCCGCGGCTGTTAACAGGACGTGGTGTTAGCTGAGACACAGTCACTCCTCGGGTGCTTCAGGTTATGCCACGGAGAACGCCCAGCGGACATGTCTGAGGTCCCAGGGTGCTGGAGTCATCAGGACCATCCGAGATGGGTGTGACTGTGGAGGACAGCTGTCGCCGGGCTGCTCCGGCTGCGCGTGGCGCGTCTCCAGGCACCGGGCGCCCAGCGACTGTGTTAATAGTCATACAGAAAGGTGGGATTCGTTGTCAGAATTTGTTTCTTTAAATGTAACTAAAGATTTGCCAATTAGAAAAATTAACACACATAGCTTACATTTTTAAAAAGTCCTACTAGGGATGGTGGTTAAGGCAGCTGTATCCCACGTGGCTGACTCCACGGTTCGAGTCCCAGACCTGGAGACTTGAAATTCATGCCACGCATGTGTGCACGCATGCTCAAACCACCGAGAGGAGAACAGATTGTGGCGTGGCCGTCTCCCTGGGAGCAGTTTCTCAGTTCCCTCTCTCTTTTTGTCTCTCTCTGGGAAGCCCATAATATAGCAAAACTTAAAAAAAAAAACAAAAAAAAACTATTTTTAGTCTCAACATAAGAAATCAGAGGACAACAGAGTTTTGAAGTGCTAAGAGAAAAATACATGCTTTTTCTCAGTCTCTCTCTTTCTGGTGAGCACACATGCCCTTTGACAGTTTTTGTTTTTAATTTAGCAATCCACAATTTTTTTTACTTAACTTGCCACTAAGGAATGAGAACAGGGCCGGCTCCCAAGCCAGGAGCCAGTGGGGAGGCCGAGGCAGGAGAACTGCAAGTTGCAGGCCAGCCCAAGTGACATGGATGAGCCAACAGGCGGCGTGGTGTTTAAGGAGCTGGATCCTACCTGGCAGACTCCACAGTTCAAGTCCCGGACTTGCAGCTTGAGAAACATGCTGGGCACGCCCAAAACCCCACGAGGAGAATGAAGGAGGCGGTGAGGCAGTGCTTTCTCGCTTCTTTCTCTCTCGGTCTCTGTCTGGCCAGTGCACATGCCCAATGGCAAAAAAATCCTAAAAACAGAAAAAAGAGAGAGAGAACAAGGAAAGGTGTTTTCAGATGGGAAAATAGAAGTTTGCCCCAACAGAGCCTCGCCGAAACCTTTTTTTTAAAGAATTATTTAATTTTATTTATTCTTAGTATTTTTAAAATTTGACCACAGAGAAAGCAAGAAAGCAAGCCACCAGGTCCAGGACAACTCAAAACATGGTTGGCCACGTGGGAGTCCAGCACATTAACCACCACGCCACCCACTGGCCGCCTTGACCGAAACCTTCTGAGGGAAGCAGTTAAGGGTGGGAGGACCGTGGGAGCCAGTCCGGCCTCATGCTGGCCAGGCCTTACTCCGCCCTTTCCGTAATGGTGATCTGCGGAATGGGCAGGCCGAGCGGGACAGACTGCCCTCCCTCGGCTCCAGCTCCGTGCCGCGTAGAGAAGCAGGCTCACGCTGTCCCAGGTGAGAGGGGCTCCCCCTGGCTTCACATGTTGGCTGCTTCTGCCTTTGGACGCGACAGTCGGCCTGTGGGACTTGTTTGCCCCGCCGCTGCGTGAGCCAGCTCCTGTAGTAAACCCTTGGTGTGTACGGGGAGCACGGCTCTGCCAACACCTACTTTCGAACTTCTGGCTTTCAGGGGCAAGAGGATAAATTCTCACCCAGTCACCGAGGGAGTAGGACTCCGTGCTGTGGCAGTCCCGGGAACGTGCAGTTCGCAGGGCCCCGGGGTGCTCAGGAGGAGGCAGACTGATCGGGGTGCGGGCAGCATTTCAGGGCGGCCACTGTGAAGTGGGACTTGAACGTGGAGGCGGAGGACATGGGGGTAAGAAAACTTGATCAGTGCACTCAAAGGCGGAGCGCGAGGGAGGGGACTGTAAGGAGGCTCAGGGCACGGTAAATCCGAGCCGCAGTCGCGAACATGGAAGTAGAGCGCGCAGGCTAGCCGGGCAGGCTGCTCAACGGCGGCTTCTCCGAGTCGCAGCAGGTGTGAAAGTCAGCAGGGTGGAAGGGGCACCAGTGCCGAGACAGTATCTCCGTGTTCGAGCCGTGCGACACGCAGTGTGTGCTGTATTCACGCTGGGTGGCGAGATCTACCGTGGGTGTAGTAACCTCGCGGCATTTGCTGTGTCTGCAGTAGCTGTAAGTGGTTGCTGTTGGTTACAGAGTGACGGACAGCCTGTTTACTGCGGTTATAAATACGGAACATGCTAGAGCTTAGCAGAAATACAGCCAGTCTTCCCTCATGCGGATTTCACCAACCCGTCCGTCCCCAGAGCCTTGGCAAGAGTCCTTGCTCAGGGCCAGCAGATGGCGTGGTGGTTGAGGTGCTGGACTCTCACATGGCGGACTGCGGTTTGAGTCCTAGACCTGACATCTTATTTCTCACTCACTCTTTCTCTCTCTGGTCAAATAAAACAAATTATGGTAATAAATGAAATGAAATGAAATAAAATAATTATTAAAAAAAAAAATAGAGCCCTGGCTCTGGCCAAGCACGGTCGTGCCGGCAGCAGGCATCACAGCCATGCTGGAACCACGTGGGACACCCGGGTTCGGGCCCCAGGCGGACAGCCGACTAGGCAGTCCTGTGCAGCCCACGACCCAGCTGACTGGCCAGTCGGAGGGGTCGCAGTGGTGCACAGCCCTGTCCGGTGTCTCTCTTCCCATCCACACCCTCTCCTCCCATCAAGACATGAATAAAAGGAGAAAGGGCGCAAGTTCTAGAGCATTCTGGAGCCCCTGTCCATGGTGCTCGCCCTCCACATCGCTCCTCTCGCCTCTTGTGAGGGGAGGAGGAAGAGGGCTGGACCCCAGCTGCCTCTCTGCATCCAGACACTGTCCAGGGACCAGCAGGTGGCGTAGTTGCTGCGTCACTGGACTCCCACGTAATCGACTGCATTTCGAGTCCCAGAATGGGCGGCTTAAAACCCACGCTGGGTGTGTGTGTGTGCGTGTCCACCATCTCGACAGGAGAATGGAGGAGAGGGGATTGTGGCGTGGCCATTCCCCCTGGGGAGAGGTTTCCCACTTTCTGTCCCTGTCTCTCTGGTGAGTGCATGTGCCGTACAGCAAAAATCTCTCTCAGAGAAAAAAGAGTTGTAGAGTGATTCTTAACAACAGTAAACATAAATTAAAAGAAGACCTACTTTAACTTATTCTAACTACTTAAACTCAAATACATAGGCCCAGGCTGGACTTCTCCCATTTCCTTAGGCCCTTATTAACAAATTCATTCGAATATGCTTGAGTTTTCACGAGGCAGTTTGAGAACTGAATGAGAGGTCAGGCCCAACTTCCTCATTTCCAGGGAAAGGTACCCTTCCCCGCGGGAGAGCAGAGGGGCTCGGCCAGCCGGGCTGGGCCCCCGGTTTGCCTCTTCTTCCCCCACCTTTTGGTCTTGTCCATCTGTAAAGCTGAGGCGGGCATTTTCGTTGCTCATGTTTGGGTTACGGGCGGCGTTTCAGGGGCGCCTGTCTTCCCGTGTGCCGATTCGGATTCCCGCGCAGTGACCTGCCCGCCGTGGCTGGTCAGCCAGCTGTGGAGCTACGCGCTGGTCGGGTCTCGGTCCACCCCTAACGAGGTTTGCCTCTCCTCCCCCGCAGTTGCTGACCACCTGGGCTGTGACCCCCAGACGCGGTTCTCCGTGCCCCCTAACATCAAGCAGTGGATCGCCTTACTGCAGAGGGGCAACTGCACGTTCAAAGAGAAGATCTCACGGGCTGCCTTCCACAACGCCGTGGCCGTGGTCATCTACAACAACAAGTCCAAGGAGGAGCCGGTCACCATGACGCACCCAGGTAGGCGGGGGCCCCTCCCGCTGCTGCTGGCCCCCGAACGCACAGGGCTCCCCGTACCGCGTGCCGGGGGGTCATCCTCCCCTTCACGGGGCGTTTTCCGTTTTCTCACGTCTGTAAAGCGCGTACTTAATTATGGCTGCGACCGAGTCCCCCGTTCTACCTTTCTGCGTCTTACTTGGAAACGTCAGAAAATAACATAGCCATTTTAGAAGCCTTTGCCGAGGTGATGTCATGGATTCTCGAGGATTACCTGTCCAGAAAGTGCTCTTTTCATCTCTTCAGGATAAATGCGAACCCACGTTCGTAGAGTGTGAGAACCGTAGTGAGTTTTCACTTCCTGCGGAAGTCTTCAGTCTCTGATGTCACTGTCCCAGCGCCAGAGCCATGTGTTATGGGGCACCCGCATCACCGAACTGGCTGGGCTGTGAGCCCGCGGCTGTGCTCCCCCGTGGGTGCGCGGGCCGTCCTCCCCGTGAGCGTGTGCCGGCGGTCCACCCCGTGAGCGTGTGCCGGAAGTCCACCCCGGGAGCGGGTGACGGC